TATATAGCTTTCAAGTCTCAGTGGAAGCTGTTTACTCTATTTCCTGCCTCAGACGACAACCACAAAGCTTGATGCCTGGCCAGGACATTGAAAATTTTATCTTTCGTCCCTCCATACATCACCATCGCTAGGAACAAAAATAGTAGAAATCTGTCCATGAAGATAAAAATAAAGAAAATTCTACCAGATTTTCAAATGATCCTTTTAATGCTACCGTTTATCCTCGCCAATTTTCAAATTTTCCTAAACTGTTTTAACTTCCTTTTCTTGTTCAGTATTTCCCACAAGTGAGTACAACTGATCCACTTTAGCCAAGGAACTTCTGCACCTCTTCCCTTCCTAACTGTGTGTTCTTATTTGAAGTCCAGTATTTACTTACTCCATTCTTCCAGATAGCAATGAATGATGCTGTTTGCTTCTACTACCTCAGCCATTTAGATGAAGTTATGGTCTTCACATTTGTTCTTAAAGTGGATAGCATTTCTGAGCAAAAGAAAAAGGAGTGTTTGCATTGGCACTCAACTGGGAATGAGGAGTTCTTTTGGTGAGTTATGACAGGGAATACATTATACATTATGTTTGAATTTTAAATAATATCAATTATAGTTGGCCCCTGAACAAAGGATACTTATTTTTGTGAAGCCTGGTTGTTTGCTGTGATACTTGTTAAAAGTTGCCCTTGATACTTGTTTTTTTTTTCCCTTTGTCTGTTTTAAGCCTCCCCCAAAGACTCACTCATTTTGTTTACTTCTTGCTACTTCTGTAATTTTATTTTGATTCTGATCTAGTCACTGTGAAGATGACTTCCTCTTCTTAGTTTTCATTTCCCAGCTAGGTTTCATTTACTGTGTCAATGAATTTCTTTTTCTAATATTAGTCATTGATAAAAAATGTCCTCTGAGACGGAGTCCAAGACCACACCTCTAAATGACAGCTCCCTTGAATTGGAAGATACCATGACTTCACTGATAGTCACTGTTTGGGTTCAATTCTCTAACTTGCTGCACACAATTAATAATTCTAAAACTGTATTTTATCACTTGGAGGCAAAGTTACTGAACAGAAACAAAAACCTCCTTGCCAAACCCTTGGTTTCCTTTAATCTACCTCCTTTGCTACCTGGGCCATATGAAGATAAACTAAGCCACAAGCCACCAAGTTTGGTGTGGCTATTTCTTGGTAACTTCTCTTTGTTCGAGCCACAGGTTTAATATCTAGATGAAGACCATTAAAATGACAAACGATGGAGTCCGTGAGACCAATGTTACCATCCTTCCCCAGGTGGACTGCAGGAATTCATGTTAATCACATCAAAACAAAGTTAGGTTTAAGGATGATTTAAGCATGTTGAGAATTCCTTAACATTTGATGTTGTCCAAAAATAATTATTTAGATTTTATTTTAAATAATTCTGTAAGGCATCAAGGCTCCCTACAAAAGCAGCTTTAAGTGAAGAACTAAGCTCTGTGGATGAATAGGAAATAGCTGTGCATTCAGAACATAGTCTAGAAGCATGTGCCCTGATTTCAGTAGCGGTTGTGGAGTGCTAGAAATCTGAATGATATTTTTCTTCATTTTTTTAATCACTTTATGCTAAAACAATTTTTTACTTGGCTAATCTTTTGTAAGGAAAACTAGAGAAATTTTCTTGGCTATTTTAAAAGCAAATGGCAAACAATTTTTTACAATACTAATTTGGTTAGCACTGAACATATCAAAATTGGTTTTGTATCACTGTCATTAAAAAGAAAGCATTAACATATGTATCCATATATATGCATATATTTACCTATTATTTAGGGATAAAATAATTATTAAAGTTACTGCTTTACTAATAGTAGACATAGTAGCAATAGGATCAAACTAATGCTTAATTCTCTTCTATATTTCTGGTTTAACCTTGTGATACGGCAATTCAAAAAGTCTGGTTTTGAAAATTGGAATTTAATAAAAATAAAACTTGCAACAGTTCAAGTTAATATTAAAGTCAATAGCAGAAAACCATTCTATTGCCTGAAGTTTTTAAACTCTAACCCTTGTGTTTCCAATGTCTTCAGCACTTAGAGCAGGATTTTGAAAAAGCAATTTCACTAATAAATGCCCATCTTCTCTGGCTTGTGACTAGTTTTCCCCAGGAAACTAGAAGAAAGAACATTTAGAAGCCTTCAGCCGAAAGTAACAACACGGTTTCAGAATGCTCCATCTGAAAGATATTTACACAGGTAGGAAAACTCTGTTTCCGTCATTTGTAAGAGTGAAAATATGGAAAACTGTGTGATGTATTTTATATTTTAATCGTATCTAGAAGAAAGGAAGCACAGCACCGTGACATATAAAAGTTCTTGCCCTAGCCCAAGCCCCTGTTGAAAGTACCGTGCTCAGTGCCTGTTCGCACATTTTTCCAGAGGAGCAAGAGTAAATACTAACAATCTGACGGGTCACATGCCTTTGGAAGACGCTGGTCATCACGGGACAGAGAGCTCCAAGTGTTTGCACGGCACACACACTTTCATGGTCACTCCGCTTCGTGTCTCAAACCGTGAGGACGTTAAACTACAGTGAGGGTCTTATTTCTATAAAATGATCGGAGGCTGAGCAGTCTCTGTACTTCTGCTTGGATCTCTTTTAAAATGTCATCCGCAGGAACTGCTTTATTGCTTTTCATAGAGCATTGCTCTTACGAACGACCTTATTTGCTCATAAGGATACATGTCTTTCATACTTTTTGTTACCCAGGGGTTCGAGGAGGAATTACTGAGATATTTTGATATGGAAGTTAGCTGATACCACGAACTGGCATGTTTCCAAACAACTATGCTTCTTGCCAGCTTCGTGGCAAAACTTCCATAATTCCTAGATATTCTCTGCTTTTTTTTTTTTTTTTTTTTTTTTACCAGTGGAGCTCTGTCTCAGCTCATCAGCAGACCTTTTGTTTGTGTTTTATTTCAGCTATTCTTTTAAATTGTAACAAGAAATACCTCTATATTCCCTGAAGATATTCTTACTTTCTGTTAATGGCTAGAAAGAAGTATTTCTTTTCGGAAAGCACTGAAGTCAATATTGTACATCTTGTAACATCATTAAAAATATAGAGATATTATAATCATAATCTGCTGATTCTTAAAACTATTTTACTAATCAACTAGCTTTGTAGTATCACTAGTTAACATTTCATGGGACAATTTATACTTAAGAGTTGAGTATTAGTGGATAATGC